AATTCAATTTTTTAACTGTTTGGTTTCATTTATTTTACCAATGCTATCTCTCTTTTCCAGATGAGAATACGTTCAAATATAAAAGACAGGCACTAAAATTTGTTTTTGCGGTAAAATTCTATAGTAAAACGTTAGAAAAAATTATAATTATAATAAGAAACGACATTCGTTTTTATTTTTTTATTATAGAATTACAATGGATTATTTGACAAAAGAAAGTTCTAATAAAACAGTGTTTTATTTTAAAAAACGTTTAAATACACGTTTAAAAAATCTAACAAGGAGAAATGTTACTTTCCCACCTGTTATGAAATTTTTAGAAAAATGATTTATTTATTAATATAACTAGCTTATTGCCCGCGGCTACGACCGAATTTTAAAAATATTCTTCCCAGTAATTATTATACGAGACGTTATTAATCGTAAATTTAAAAAATGTATGCGGTAAAACATTTTAAGAACATTATCAAAATGCCCATAAGTTTATTTGTCTACTGTAACTACTCTAAAAATAAAAAAAATATATATATATTTATATATTTTATTTTTCTACATAACAAACAGTAACAACTAGAGAATGATTTGTGACTTATTTTAATTATATAAATCACAATGATTATGTAAATTTTATGATAAGAGAACAAGGAATAAAAATCAAGTATAAAATTCAATTAAGCTGAATCGCATTTTAATTCATGTGAAATTAACTAATTAATTTAGGAAAGAATGTACAGTGTTAGCTCAGGGTAGTTTATGCAGATATCATGTGACTCATTAATCCGGAATTTAATATTTATAAAGGGAAATCTGATAGAAGATAATTTCGAAAAATTTATTTATAATTTACATAATTTCTAAGATGGATCTTATAAAATATCACATATTTTATTTCTGTAATACAATGATTACCTGAATAATTCTAATAAGGCGAGAGATTACTTTCAGAATACAGTGATTTTTCGCCGCGATAGTAAAATACCGTGTTTCCCCGATTATAAGACATTCGCAGAAAATAAAACCTAGCACAGATTTTGCTGAATTGCGAAATATAAGACCTCACCCTGAAAGTAAGACCTAGCGAAGTTTTTTTTTAGTCGTAACGGTCATGGACAGATGGTTGAAAGTGGCCGTTGACTTTTTGAAAGTACAGCCACTGATTGGTCAGCAGACAATTACGCCACACGGCATGATTTGCATAAGACTATGGCTTGGGAATCACAGATTTGCATAACGTTACGGCTGGTGATGGCTAATTGGTCGGCCGGGAATCACGCCACATGACATTTGCATAGTGCTACGGTTCAATAAGCACTAATTGGTCATCGAGTCCGATATTGACGCTATAAAAAGGCGAAAGTTCGACACACCGGATATACGTCACTCTCGTCTAAGTTCGACTTGGAAATTTTTTTGTTCAATAATAAATGTGAATTCTTCTTTTTGGAAAGAATAAGTCATTCCCTGAAAATAAGACCTAGCGCATTTTTCAGAGCAAAAATTAATATAAGACACTGTGTTATTTTCGGGGAAACACGGTATTACAGCCTATAAATTTAAAACAATACGTAAAAGTCACAGGGAAAACTTGGAAATAAGTAAAAGTATACAGTAGACCCCCTATAACGCTTACATACGTTCCACGTTATCCGAATTTCACGTTGTAGGAATCCTTAAATACATGAGCCAATCGCAGATCGACACGTGTGAAGTTTACGGAGTAAGGCTGTTTGAAAGGTTTTCTTCTATAAAATTAACCGATTCTAGACTAACTCCACTCAACATTTCCAAAACACGTGTAATTTTTTTGGGAATAATCCGTATATACGATTCTATAAAAAAAAATTGTAGGACTACTTACCGAGTGTAAACCGTTCGACATCGTCATTGCTTAAGCTTGTTTTTGTCGCGGAGCAGCGCACCAAACGGCGGCCGCGATTTCTGATAAGTTATTTTTCTGCGAAAACTTCGTTGAACTTTGGAGACATCATTAATAGAAATAATTTTCATGGCCGTTGAATAAGAAGTGTTTCTTTCACAAGAAATGTATAAAATTAGTGCTAAAATTAGGACTTACCGTACCTAATTTACATACTGTACAGACGATAGTAAACTCAATTTACCCATCTAAACTTTCCGTAGCGTGGCGCTAGTTCGGCTGCTCATCCACTATTGGTCCAGATTCGACCAATCTTGCCGCGACACGAGTAGGCGACGACGTTTTACGAGTCCCTTTATACGAATACTGCCGCAATTCTTTCGCTACGTTATAGGAATTTCCGTTATAGGAACCCACGTTATAGGGGGTCGACTGTACATATAAACATAAAATTACATATAAGGAAATTACTAAGAACAGTATAAAAAATAAAACCTGAAGTATCGATCATTACACGTCTAAATGTACATGTAATAACTTTTCCGGCTTTTATATATAACAGAGGGAAGATACCTCGATAAATCAATAAGACTTTTACCTCTGTGGACTGAGAGGACCTTGAAAGATAGAGAAATGCATGAACAATTCTCGTTTATTCTGTATATATGTAGCAAAATCATGCCACACATGTGTGGGGCATGATTTTGTTTACCTCCATTGAAGCTTAATGACTCGTGTGATTTTTGTCATGATTTGCAGAAAGTTTTCAGGGAGGAATGTTTATTACGGTGATTGTTATTAATTAATAAATGTTTGGCACTAAAGATCAAAGTGGTGAGGAGATAAAGAAGGTCGTGTGTGACCGAATCGGCGATGCCTACGTCAGGTCTGCATCGTTGTTGATTTACGTGAGCCTTTTATTGTTTTGCTAGCGATCGCGTACGTAAGCGGCAGGGTTCGGAATGGAGGATGTCCAACAGACAGCGCGTCCGAAAGAATGCACTCGAGTACAAATTAACGCAAACAAATATCCGTTTATTTATTTACATTTAGATATATATATAGGACAACGCACAGCATTTCCGTGATAGTTCTACATCAGCGTAACGTAATTGATAAGGCTCTATACATAGTGTAAGATATCTAATGGATTTTCTATATGTCAAAAAAAGTACTATCGAAATAGGACCCTATTCGTGTGAGAAAGAGAAAGAGAAATCTGGAGAAAGATAAGATCACATCTTTCCATTTTTTTTATTAAGTGTCCGGCAAAGTATTTCTTTATATAATATGAAAAATTTAAGAGTTATTCTTTAATAAATTTATATAAAATTTTGTTGTTAAATAAAATTTCCATCCTGTCACGTTTATTAGGATGAGGCTTAGAGATGAATTTACTCGTTATTAGCACTTACAATTATTTATAAAATCCATCCCTCTATTCAAAATTAAGATTTTTGTTCTTTTAGTGTATTAAAAAGTATAAACGTTTTAAAAATAAAACTCGATTAAAGATGGCGCCACCAATCGCTGCCGGTAAAGTTAAGCAACTCGTTGCTCGATTTGTATAATAATTTTTTGTTCAAAAATCCTTCAGAGATAGTTTCATTTGTATTCAGGCGTGGTTCCTGCGTTTGTTCCTAGGAGAATTTGGCACTACGAGATGTTTTCTTTCTCATTTACAAGACGAAATATAAGGAGGGTATGAGAACAAAATATAATAATAACATATGTGATGTGTTTGCTGCAATAGGGTGGGTTTAGGTTAAATTCTCTATTTTCTACATTTATTCACTTCATAATTTTTTTTTCAAAAATCTGTTCTATTCAGAAGGTGCTACATGCAATTTTATTTATTGTAATAATGTAAAAGTTATTTTAAAAAAATTTCATAACAGCAGGTAAAGTGTCGCAAGTAGTTTTTAATATTTTTTTTTTATACTTTTTGGTGGAGGCAATTTTAATGAATGTCTTAGGTGTTAGCTATTTATGTTAAATAAATCTTTTGTTGTTTAATGCTACATTAGTAACCAGAATAAATCACTTCTGCGTTGCACACGTCTCGACTTCTTTCTCCGTTTTCTTTCTCGTTACCCCGAGTCTCTACACGAGACCATGAGATCTCGCAAAGGAAAAGTTCCTGTGTCCCAGAAATTTACAGGTGGTGTCACACTCACCCGTATATGGCAGGTAATGCTTTTACCTGCTATATATGTAAGAAAACTGAACTCAGAGAGATTGAAGATTCAATGGCTTTTGGCATAAAGCGTACAATTACCGTTTATTTCACAAAACAGATTGAAAAGGTTCTATAGTTCTGTTAGTTCTGTACTTGTAAAAAACTATATTTGAGAAAGATTGAGTTTTAGTACGGTTAAGATTTTAAAATACATTTTATATTTCTTTATCCATATTTTTAATATATTTTAGACTTTTTGTTATATAAATTTTTTTTATCAAATATGTTTTATGAAAAATTGAACCTTTGATAAATTTAATTTTTGTTGTAGGTTATAAGACTAAACGACTAAAATTATATAATAAGTAACTGCAAAACCCTGACCATGAAATGTTTAATAAAACGATCTGTGAAAGAGCCAAACTGAATGTAGTCAAAAGAACATATTGTGGAAATATTTTATAATGAATGAACAGATTTGAGTAAGATATTGACATATTTTACACTGCTAATGATAATTTGTATTGTATCCATGAGATGTTTTAACCGCAGTTTAAAATAATTACTATTACCAGACACTACCTGAAATGTCTATCCCGTTTCTCTGAAAAATCGCAATGTGCATTGAAAAATGGATCTCGAGATCCCCTCTCTTGTAAATTCGTAGATTTATAAATTTCTTCTTATATAATATTTACAATATATTTTTAATGATATTTAAACTCTAAAAATGCTCGAAAATTTGTTATAAAAACTGTAATGGCTGTAATTATTATTATTGTTTAAGTAAGTAAATAAAGAATAGAAACTTTTAAATTACTCATTAAACTTTTATGAAGAAATTTAATTTTTGAATTAAGAGAAATGTCACGTAGTTTAAAAATGCTTTTTGGCATTGATTATTGTTCGTAACTTATTACAATAGGAATAATGAATTACTAAATTGGTTATAATTATATTTCATTTTGAAACATTCACGTTAAAGTAAATGATTCAAATTAATACACACGACAATTAGCTATTTAAATTGTCTTCATTCCGGATATTTGCAAAACTTCACAATTAATAAAAAATTCACCGTTTTCATTTACAGAAGAATATTTCAGAATTGTAGGTTCTGCCAGCTTCCAAAGACGATTCCTCACTTCAATTTGCATGCCTCTAAAAATTTTTTCTGGTAATAATACTAACTGAGTATCTACAAAAGAGGATTAAACGTATTTTATTTGTTAACAAAAATCTTATTCTATCTAACAAATAAATAACAAGAAATTATTAATTCGTTTATAAAAAGTAATATCGTATGATTAGGAGTTTTGTTGGATTATGTATTTACGACGGATGGAACCTGAGAGAAAAGTGTATCAGTTGTACAGAGAAAGGCCAGAGGGAAGAAGTCCGAGAGGCAGACCAAGAAAGAGATGGGAAGAGAATGTGGAGGATGATTTGAGAAAGATGGGTGTGAGTTGTTGGAAAGGGAAAACCCAAGATAGAGCGAAATGGGTGAAAATCCTGGATGAGGCCAAGGTCCTTCAGGGACTATGAGTACCGGAGAGAGAGATGCCAGTTGTTCTCCTACAAAATCAAATTCCAACCTAAGAAGCTCGAGACAATGAACTATCTAGCGATTATAAACTGACATTACTGTAAGAAAGGAAATTGTATTTCTAATGCAAATGTGGCCATACTATTCGTATACAAAATCTAAGCGTATGTATGGTTATAGAATTAAACTTTTCGCAAGCATGATTAAACAAAGAAAAACAGTTGAGAAAAGCCGAATCATCAGGTTAGGAGAATCAAAAAGATCTGTTCACTGAATTACCCATTTTCGGCCATTCGGACTGATCTGCAAAACGTTTGAAAGACGTTGAATATACGTCGAGACATATACACTTCCTTTACAATCAAACAACAGGTGAAATACTCAAAATACTCAATACAGAACTCTGTCTGTACCTTTAATATTATCAGGAGACTATCAGAAGGAAATTTGCATATAGGATGCTGTTACGTGTCTTACTCTTATTATCCTAGCATCTTCGGCTTCGTTTCCAACAGTGCCATGAGAGAAAAACTTGAATTACTACGAAAGGAATTCTATATGAAATAAACTCTTTTTGAAATAATTATTTATTTCTTGTTTTAACAAACAATAATACTTAAACACAAAAGTAATATTTTAGAATTAAATAGGTCTAATACGTATACGAGAATCCGGACTTTAACATAAACAATTTAACGTAGTAACATCAACTTTCACACCTGGGAGTATATCTACTTGTGTTCTTAGCGTCGATAAAGAGGCTTTCACGCGATCTTCCGATTTCATCATTTTAAAATAATACCAAACGGGCAATCAAACAGTCGCCGTTTAATTCTCACCGAGGCAATACGTTGCCACCCATTCCCTATAGGTGCCGACCCTCCAGTCACACGTAAACGCAAATTATTAAAATATAATGCAGTCTACAAAATATTTACCCAAATATGCTTTTTTGTTGGCATAAAACACGTCGAAAACTTCACAGTTAGTACTTGTCACTCGCAGACCAAATTTTGAAAGGAAATTACTAAATTCTGTTTCTACATCCTTCCAATTAAGAAAAGGTGGAAGTTCATCAAGTATATGTCGTCTCTGTAATTAAATATTACTTAATATTATATGAAACATTATTTAGAGCCAAAATAATCGCACCTTTATGATCTTCGTCCATTCATCGATATTACTTATTTCTTGCAAAATAGAAAAAAATGGATTTTTAATGAAAAAAGTGAACGAAAAATATCCTCCAGGCTTTAAAATCGAAGATATAACAGAAAAGAGTTTTTTGAAATCGGATATCCGGTGAAATACGTAGAAGGATACGATTTTGTCATATCTTTTCACTTCTTCAACATTTGGTCTGAAAATCAAAATGAAATTACAACGATTACTTTCTATTTTTCATTGCTATTACCTTAATCTTTCAAACATACCGTGACTTTTACGTTTTCCAAATAGAAAAGCGTTATAGTTAATAATTTTTTAAAAAGATCTGTTACAATTTAAAATAATACCTTTGGAGGATATCCCGTGTCTCGTATTCAATTCTTTTGTCGGAATATTTTTTTCTGGCATATTCGATGTATTTAGGCATTATGTCGATAGCAACGATTTTCTTAAATTTTGGACATTTTGGTAGAAGAATATTTTTGGTGGTTCTTCCTGTACCGCATCCAATATCCAAAATGATATCCTCATCAGACCATTTCATATTTGGAAAGTGTAAATCCAAAGCTGATTCTACGTAGCGAAGGATTAAAGTGGTGCTTAATCTTTCATAATCTTCAGCTGTTCCTTCCATATTTGCCTGAAAATTAATAAAAAATAAGTCACGAAATTCAAAACAAAACCGAGCATTTCATCAGAAATGTTTCGTCGTGAAACATTTCACTGGATTTTATCTTGGCTGTTTTTCCTGGTTGGTTAAGTCGTTTGCCTGAAAACCAGTCGAGCCCAGCACATTCCTAGGTGAACCCGAATGCGAAAGAACTTCTTACTCCCTACGGGGAGGAAGAATTAATAAAATAACAAAAAAGTAAAAAATACCCTTGAAAGCAAAATAGATAAGACTCATATATATTTATAAATATATTGTTTAAATAACATATACTTGTTAATCAACACAATAGACTTTCATAATAACATTTTACAAAACTTTAAATCGAATATATTTGTGAATGTTAGTTTATATCTGTGTGTGAGATAGGAGAAATTCCTATATCAGACCTAGGCTTTAATATTAACATTTCGCGAATTACGCAACAATTGTTGTTCTTAGCTACCTGAGAAAATCTCCCGTTACGTTTTCTCGAAAGCAACATGACGCTTTCTCGTGAAGTGTTAACCTCTGCACGGCCGAAATCGTCCGTGAATATCACCAGAGACGGCCGAAAAGAGTTAGACACCGTTTTAGTCCTCGGAGAGGGAAGAAGTCGTCGTCCATCTAATCATCGTCCATTTAATCGTCACCGAATTAATCGTCGCCCATAGGATAACCTTTTTTTGTGTGTGTGTGTTAGTGCACAATCGCCTGGATAACTAAAAATACCCATCAAAACTGGATACATCCTGAAAAAACCCATAAGAAGATCTTGTTCTCCGATTCAACAAGACCCGACCGGGATATATTACCAAAGGTATTTATCACCCCGCGAATCGTATGTGAACTCTCTCTCTCCGCGACAACACTTTATCCAATTTAATTTTAAATAAACCCTTGTTAATTGTTAAGTGTATCTGAGTCACTTCCACATGTTGTCTCTCGATCTAACATTAGGAATCCGTCTGACCACGTATGGGACCGCTCGCGCGACGGTGTGACGTCATCGCCGTCTCGGCTTCCGTGTTCCGTTAAACACGGTGGTGTCAATCCTGACAGGGCATCAAGGAGGTGCCGACCCTAAAGGTGACATGTGTAACGCTTCGTATCTTTGCTATTTACTACAGCTAAGCCTTTTCGGAACCCTCTAGAATGGAATAAGGAATGTTTAGTTGTAATTTTCGCATTCCTCTACAACGATATTTACTTCACTTAAAGCAATTAATTAACACGTAAACCGATTAATTAAACCAAGAGTGTCGACACGCTATTATGCGCGAAATCTCTTCGGATAAACCGAAACACACAGGCGATTTGTTTACTATTTCAATTAAAAACTTCCCCTGAAAGGTGTAAGATAGATAACCGCACGACTCTATTGTTAAAGGAAAAGTATATTGTACACGGCAAGTCACTACTTATTTGACGTGGAGAGCATTGCAGCCCAGCATTGTGGCAATGTCACAATAAATAATTGCTCGTGTATATTTTTATTTTATAGAAAATAAATTAAAACGTTTTTTGTCAATGAAAAAAAATACAGGAATTTATGCGTTCAAAACTATATTATTTATCAAGAAATCTTTATACAGTTTAATTAATATTTACACTACGCTAAAATTTAATTTTTACCTGAAACAATACGAGATTCCAGCTGTCTAACGTCCTAAATCAGAATTATCTTCTCAGGTCTACACGCTATTATATATATATATAAGCAGAATTGTATCAACAAAAATATTTAAACATTTGATAAAAATATAACAGTGAAAACAGTCATAATCCTAGGCTTATCTACATGCATTTGTTTGTGTAAATAACGTCACAATATTATCATTTCGTCGAGTTTTAAAAATACTTTAATGTTTACTTTTTATATTTTTATTACATAAACCTTACCATGTGAGAGAAATAACACTGATTTCAATTGGGGAAAATCGGAAAGGGTTGTAATAATTTTGGAAAATGTGAAAGAAAAGAGTTCAGTTAATTATATAAGAAAACATGATGTAATGAAAATCTGATCCAAATCAGTAGCTTTAAATCAAATAAGTAAAAAAAAAACAAGTCGAGATGATGGATGTAAACACGGAGTTTACAGATGTATTCAGAATCATTCTGACCTTTTGAATATGAATTTACAAAGTCAATGTTTATTTTTATCAGATTCATAAAGCATGTTTTGATGCTTGATTGCTGATGTGAGGGTAACGTCAATTGGAAGAAAACATGTTTTCGCCAGAATTTAGTTTTGTATATATTTTAAATTAGGATTTCAATAATCATATATTTGTTTAACGTAAAAGTTGTTTATATAAATTTTATAATTATTAAAGTTCAATTCACAATTCAAATATGAAAGGCAAAATGGCTGTTTAAATAATATACTGAATGTGATGGTTAAAATGGGCGATCCAATAATTTCATTTACCTTTCAAAATATCAGAGATCAATACTTTATTTGTCTTTTGTATGCGAGGATGCTAATAAGCATAACTTTATTGTTTGGCTATGGTTACATATGGGACACTATTTATGTATTAGGTATAACTGACTAAATCGACAGTATGTAATTATATGCCGTATAATATAAACTTTTGTCTGAATTCTAATTTATGTGATAAACTGAAAGAATGAGATAGGATAATAGATTTAATTTTTATTTTAATTTTAACCGAGAAATGTGTAAATTTCTCAGCAACTTATAAGATAAGCAAGAGTCTGAAAGAATTTGTTTTTTTATCAAATCAGAACAGAATGAATTTCTAATTGAAGATAAACATATTCTTCTATGACAATTTCTAAAGCATATTTTTATAAAATTACTGGATCGTGCTTTATAAAATATCGTAATATTGCAATATTTTAACTAACATTGGTTGAATTTAAATGCAATTCAACACACCGAATGATATATATCGAACGTGAAATAGTTCTTACACGATCGCTTTATATTTTTCAAACGACAATCCTCAGCTTTGATAAAAAGTGCCCATTGAAAAACGTGGTTTCCATTTACCTGCTGTTTGTAAACAAAACCATCTTATATTTACAATGTTTAAAAATCAGCATATTCTTTAACAATTGCAAATTAATCTTAAATGCCGACACCGTTACTCTTTCATACCTTTATTTTACAAATTATAATTTCAAATATATTTCCTCGTTTTTAATATTTCAAAAAAGGTCAAGTAATTTATTTTGAACTAAATTATTTTAGATTTGAATAAATTATATTTTTAAATTATACTAAACAGAAATTGATACTTTAACCTTGTAATAAACATGTTTCATTTACATCTGTACTTGATGACATGTACTTAAAGTTTATCGCTGAAATTGTTTGTTACACTTATCAGACTTGTATAACAGTTTTTTCAACTTTCTTGAATACGCGAAGTTAAAAAATTCTGGCGTACTTTTACGGCCATATTAAAACTATGTCAGTGATTTTAAAAACTACGTATTTAATTAATTTTCTTTTTGTTGAGATTCAAATAATTAATCCATATACTATCAATAAATCTACTACGTAATTATTACCGTATCTGATATTTTTTATCAAGATTGTTTATCAAAAGAGAAGCAGATATAATGTTATGATGGGCAATAAGAGAGAAAATAATTTACAAATGTTTGCATTATGTAACTGGATACAACATAGTGAAGGCTGGTCATTCTCTCTTAATTAACATATACATAGGATCCTTATCAGTTAATGGCAAAAGAGAAACTAACAATTGAGTATGAAAGTTTTGTATGTTTGGAACATCCATCATATCATATACCAAGTGACAATCAGTGAAGCCAATGTAAGTAAATGAGCTATCTACTAACTCACTAATATGAAGTATTTAAGTAAGAACATTTTCATATTTGTCTAGCCATCGACAGTTTCGAATTAGAGTATTAAAATATTATTTACAGTTGTTTAATTAAAACACTCGTAGATATAGTAGGACCTAGACATATTCGAACTGGCCACACGCATTTTCAGGTGTATATTATAAATTCACATATTAATAATACATAAAATATATATATTATTTGATAGGGTTCAATATTTTACACGAATTTCCGTTTACACGAAAAGCCTTGAAACTGCCTTGAAATAACACTGCACTAGACGACCAGTGCGATCGTCTATTGCAGTGTTATTTCTAACATTTATACAGTCTATAAAAAACAAGAGCCGCATATGAATCTGCGATGTTAGCGATATCGCTCGTACAAATGTCTGATCATTCAGTCATTTTGAGAAAGAAATTTACGTAAGTCAATATAAATTCCACGAATCTCTCCTATCGATACTGATAGTGTCGATAATATAACATAAATAAAACTTTCTTATCAGTAACTTAATTTTTCTCCTGATAATCAGTCGTAAAACAAACATTACGCGCTATTATCTCAAATATATTTCTGAAAATAGACTAAAGTTTTTCAAATAAAGTGGTCTGAGCAGGGTACCATTTTGAACATTGGATGCTGTTCAGAAAGAATCAATACACACTTTCTTTTACCAAAATACCCAAAATTGAAGAAAATCGTTGCTATCGACATAGAATCTAGTATCATCGAGTATGCCCGAAATGTATATTTTGGCGAAAAAAAACTGAATACAAAACTTTTACGGCGTACAAATTTAACCATAATTTGGCAAAAACAACGATAATTTAAATTTCGGTGTTAAATAAACACTAATTCGTGAATTATATTACGAATTTCCAATCAAACTAACTCTTTTCTAGTCATAGAAATTAACTTTTCTTACATAAATGTAAGGACTTATTTTAAGTTTTTCAATCATCAGTATTGATTCATTAAAGTAAAACAATTACTTATAATTAATTTTCTGTATATACAATTTCTATTAAAGATACAGGTATTAACATACAGAATAGATAAAAACCGTAATTTGAAATAGTACAAACACAAAAATAAATTAAGGCAAAAAGATGTTTTTTTTTTCAAATCAAAGATACCTTCACGTCTGAAGTCAAACATGAAAACATGCCTCATGAATCTGATAAGAATATGTACACGGCTGAATAAATTAAGTTAAAACGGGTCAGAATATGTCTGAGAACATCTGTAAACGCTGTGTTTACATCCTTGACCTCCACTGGTGTTTTCGTTATTTGCTATCTACGATTTAATTAACGTTATCGATTTGTATTTTGCCTTTTGAATACGTCACGGTTTACTTATATAATTAAGGGAACGTTGAACTTTAAATTTTCTTTATTTAAAAGTTTGCGAATGTTTGCAACGAATGTTTACAAGAAAATAAAATTTGAAGTTTTTTAAAAAAAAAACTAATAGGACATAATTCCGTATACGCTATATAGTGTTATTATCAAAATAATGATCGCTGATCTAAACTAAATTCATACGCCATTGATAGTTTGGGGGTCGTCTTATAAGAGAGATGTATGCTAAAACTATAAAACTTCGACGAAGATTTATTCCTCGTCTTATCTGCGCAAATATACCGTATTTATTTTGACTAATAATACAAATATTATTTTTAAAATAAAATTTCATAAAAGCTGGTAAAGATACGCAACTCGTTACTAGATTTAGAGAAAAGAGAAAAATATTTTACTTTGGTCCTATAACAGTTAAAAACACCTAAACATTGTTATGTTTAGGTGTTCGTTGATTTAATAATTTTTTTAAAAACGCCAATAGAAAAAACGGTCCTGGTGAGAATTAAATTGGAGGTCACCCNATAAAACTTCAACGAAGATTTATTCCTCGTCTTATCTACGCAAATATATTGTATTTATTTTGACTAATAATACAAATCTTATTTTTAAAATAAAATTTCATAAAAGCTGGTAAAGATACGCAACTCGTTACTAGATTTAGAGAAAAGAGAAAAATATTTTACTTTGGTCCTATAACAGTTAAAAACACCTAAACATTGTTATGTTTAGGTGTTCGTTGATTTAATAATTTTTTTGCAGATTAACTAAGAATGATGCATGTGTAAAATCCGCAGTTGTGGGAAAAATTTTTTTTTAAAAACGCCAATAGAAAAAACGGTCCTGGTGAGAATTAAATTGGAGGTCACCCTTTGTTATTACAATTAGATGGGAAAGATGACACATAGGTGTCAAGAATGCACTGTTATTGTCAACATGTGACGATCATGTGACTTCTTTCCCACGACAACTGAGTAAAAGCTCGAGCTCCGGAAGCACAGGACGCTTCCGCACACGGAAGTTATTTCTGTACTTGTGTCAGTCGATCTCCATGGAAGGGAATCGGATGCCGTCGGAGAATACACCGGACAGAAGACACCAAGGACTACTACCTCTTCCATAAAGACGATGCGCCAAATCTCCATTACTCTGAGAGGTATTTAGGGGTTAAGGCTTATTTTGAAGATCTCTTCTTCTACTGTATTATTTTAGAAGCGGTTTTTTTGCGTTTTTGATTGCGTTATAATAGGGTGCGTACACTAATAAGGGATTTTTCGTAATTTTCCCGGGGGAGAAGTTGTTAACGCTTTCTTCCGCAGTGGGTAGTGTTAACAATGGAAGTGTTAATTAACAATAAAAGTGTTAAGAGAAAGCGGCGTGCAAGATGAACGGCGCAGATGTGTTTTTTTTTGCGTTTTTGCGGGAAATCGAACATATTTTTAGACTTATGTAAAAATTCTCTAATTAGTCTGGAAACGGGGAACCTAATTCTTGCATTCTGT